CTCTCTCTCTCTCTCTCTCTCTCTTCTCTCCCTTCCTCCCTCTCTCCCTCTCTCCCTCCCTTCTCATGCATGTACCTGAAAAAACAACAGTTCATCTTTATGACATCATCATCATCCAGTGCCACATCTGCGACAGACATTGGTGATCATGGTTCTCCATTCATTCCTTTGCTCGGGTGCTCTCAAAAAAGCTACGTTTTCCTGATCTTTCCCCGTTACCCATATGTTTAGGTTCCCCAAGTATGTTGTTCTGGGCCTTCCCCTGCCTCGCTTGCCCTCAATTTTGCCAGTGAGAGCTAGGTGTTCAAGACCCGTATGTCTATTTATGTGTCCCAAAAACTGCATTTGTTTTTCCTGATTGTTTTTAACATTGAGCGTCTCACGTGGGCTTCATCAAGCACTACCTCATTTGATCTCTTTTCCTTCCACGATACCCTTAGCAGTCTCCTAAGAAACCACATTTCTGTGGCTTCTATTTTATTTTCACTGTCTTTAGCGATTGTCCAGCGTTCACAACCAAATAGAAGGGTTGAACAAACATAGCATTTCAGAACTTTCATTTTGGTGTTCAAAGAGATGTTTCTATTTTTCAGGATTGGGCTCATTTTATTGAAACTAGCCTTAGCCATTTTAATTCTCCGTCTTATTTCTGTGGAACATTTTGCATCAGATGTTATCATATATCCTAGATATTTAAACTGTTCGACTAGTTTGATCTTTTCACTTTTGCTAATGAGATTACCACTAGGCTCTGCTGCTTTTTGGGGGGATATCACCATGCCTTCTGTTTTCTTTATATTCTACAATAATCCTTTACGTTCACTTTCTGTTACAATAGAATCTAGAAGTATCTTATGACAACGCTCTGTAATTTTGTTCTGGGGTTCCAAGGACCAGTTTGACAGTGGCTGATCTAATCTAACTGCTCTGTTTGGATGATAGGCTATAGTTTCAGGAACCAGGGACGAAGAGTCTTCATTATCATATAATTACTCCTTCATTTCCTTAACATCGTAGCTGTCAGATTAACCCACAGACCTTGATAGAAAATAGCCTTATAAATTTAAATAGCAAAAGATATTCAGGAAAACACCAATGAGCAGTGTGAACAACACTCGAAATTGTTTCATTTCCACATAAATACATGTAGCCTACTCTGTTCATCCATTTCGGGCCACTCTCATAAGTGATAAGAACTGATTATGTAAGATAACAATCTTATCAATCTGAAAGAGTCAACCTCAGATTGGAGAGGGGGGGGGGCTAACACCTAGATCTAATAATCACAGGACTGCCGTAGCTGTTTGTTTGGTTTTTTACCCTGGACTTTTTACGGCCTCATAATCAGGTCATGGCATGGTTATCGATTCCTGGCCGCGAAAGCTTGGAGAAAGACAGCCAAATCAGAAAATAAATCATTGATAATAGGTAGTATAGTTGCATTTATTGTTAAAATTTCTTGAAACCATTATTCCCACCGCTCGTAGACTAAAACTGACATACTGACATTTGATCAAAATCAATAGATTTATAAATATCTGAGTGTCATTAGCATAAAGATTGTAATTCATGTCATATTATCTTAATGTACAGCACGTGCTTCCAAACACAACTACTTGTATTTGATCTTTAAGACAAGACTCAAACCAGTGAAGGACAGTACCTTTTACATCAAAAGCAATATTTAGTATCTTGATCAATGATATTGAAAACAGCAGAAAGGTCCAAAAGAGTAAGAAGACACATCTTTCTTTCTTCAGTTCCTTTTAAAATGTCAGTGCAGATTTTAAGTAACATTGTCTCGGTACTACGGTGTGCCATGTATGCTTACTGATAAACTTCATTTGGGAATAGTTGAGTTTATATGCTGTAAGTGTCTATTAGAAACAACCTTTTCCGCAAAAATGAAAGATTTGAAGCTGGTCTTACATTGTTCTAATCCTTTTCATCAAATTCAGCTTTTTTTTTCAAAACATGTGCTGTTTTAAAATAGTTTGGAATTGTGCTTGTGAGGAGAGAATCATTTACAATTCAGGTAATGTGTAGAAGAAGTTCACCTATACAATTTTTAAAGGATGGAGGGAAGGCTATATTATGGTCTAAATGACATTGTCATGTTCTCGGTAGACTATCTATACTATAGCTATAGCAATCTATTTGATTTCTTCTTTTGCTGTTGGAGTAAAGTAATCGATGACTTTTCTATAAATCTTTTGGTCCTTCGGGGAAATTGAGAACACAATATTATCGAGTCCTTGTCTGATTAACTTGATAAATTGTTAGAAAAATATCTGAGAATCATATTATAAACTCCATACTTCTTTTGTCTTTGGAAGCACCCTGCGTGTTCTCAACTCCCTTAACTTCATTTATCACGCCGTAATAAACGTGTTTTGGGTGTGTGTGTGTGGGGGGGGGGTAGTAAATGTACGCAAATTGACGGCGCTCGCAACTGTATGAGGTCATATGAGCGCATGGGACATATTACACATTTTTTTTTAATTTCAGTTGCTTGGAAATTTTGAATTTTGCCCGGGTGGTGGCCGAAGCCTACTCATGTCGATTTTAGACCACCAAGGGATCTTTAACGTGCGCAACTTGCAGACGAGACATCCGAGATTTTTTCGCCATTGTCCGAGAAGGCTTGGTGTAGATCTTTCCTACCAGAAGATCAGGTGTGTGGCTGAAAGACAGCAGTGAGAAGAAGCCAAGGAGTAGAAGTAGAAAGGCTGCAGAAAGAGTTTGGAGCCCAGCGGAGGGGGCAAAGGAGGTGAGGGGGTGGGGGCAGAAAGTGGCGACGAAAGCAGACGACAGAACATTTTCAGTGAGAGCAGGAAAGGAGGTGAAAGGACACAATTTTAAGGAAGTAAATTTTTCTGTCGCTACCAGGATACAAACCTTTGAATGAGAGGCGAATACCTTAACCTCTTGGCCACGAGAGCCCCCATAAACCTGTTTTCAATGTGTACGCCCGAGGGACTGGTATGGGGAAAAAGTGAGTTCCTCTTGATGAACAAAGTGAGAAATCGTGTTGAAAGGAAATGTACGGTATAAAAAAACCAACAATATTTAGTTGCGTTAACCTGCTTCACAACAAAGTGGGACCAATTTCACAGCGGTTCTGTTGAGGGCGCCAAATTGGGAACAAAGTATAATGGCATGGGTCATGGAAGCGACAAAGCGCTTCCTTTCTGACGTACAGATGGACAAATTATGGATGGGTCGCGGGTAATGTCTCGGTAATGTCAAATCTCATTCCACACTAAAATAAAGTATTCTGTAACTGTAGCAGTTTATACTATAGAACAGAGCATTGCTCAAACACAGATTCTAATGTTTTTATACAATACGAGAGAACGTAAATTCTTTGTTCTCTTTCAGAAAATATTAGCTTTTAGTTTTAGTAGAAGTTTTATGGCGCTTGCAACTGCCTACGGTCATATGAGCGCCAGAAGATTAGAGGTGTTACAAGAGAGTAACAAACATAAAAAAGAAGAAGGGGGGATAAGGACGACAGATGTTTCGTAGGAAAGAAGAAGCAAACCACACCAGAGCACCCGCCAACCACCTACTCAGAAAATGCAGAGCTTTATTCCTATAATATGTACGAGTATCTAGTCTGAGCTTGCCTTGTCAGCACTAGATCTAGATCTATAGCTTAACTCTGTTTTATGGTTTCTAAATTGTCTTCTCTTTTTTTTCTTCTTTTTTTGGGGTCAAATTCAAATTAAGCTAATCTAAAAGTTCTTTTCAGTTCTTCATGCCTCTTTTTTAAAATCTTGTTAACCTTCCAACGCCAACTACAAGTACAATTTCGGGTGTCTGTGGCTCAGCCCGAAAGGGGAGAATTTTTAATTGTTATCGAGTGTCTCGCTTTTTTCTGCTGGGATGTTGTATACCTTTCAACCCGGGTTGGCACTGGCCAAAAGGGCCAAACCAGCTTCATAGATAAATGAGCTAAATTGTGCCGATAGGGGCGTAAAAACTGCTACTTTAAAATAGTCAAATTTATAAATTAATAAATAGATTATTAATTGATTGACTAATTAACACTTAACATCACTGTTTATATACGAATCTATCTTAGGGTGGGGTTTTTTTTTATAACTATAAGGCTTACATTTGGTTACTTGCTGCTCAGTTGGTGTGAACAATGTATATTTTCTCCCTGACAACTGAAGGAAACAACAAGTTGATGAGGACAACATTCAGTACTTTCGAGAAAGAAGGCATTTCGTCAGTGTAACCATTAAAGAAAAGGCGTTCTTCCGAAATTTGAATTCTAATTCATTCAAAGACTAGATCTAGTCACAGTTTCACTTTGATTATTGCACACAAGTAGGGTAATTGATCAGGCTACTGATTTAGCTAGTAGAAGTAGAAGCAGTGCTCTACGCCCTCCGTTGGACAAGACACTTTTTTAACGCTTCGTTCGAAATGTTCAATGGCGCCCAAACACAAGGACCGGCTAAACCGTGAGTGTTTAAAGCCACACACACTGACTGTACATACTATTATGAAGTGGTTTCTAGAGACAATAGGGAGTGGGGTACCCAATAGACAGCATTTTTTGGAGTTAACATTGCCCGCAAGGTGAAAATGGGCTGTGCACTAAACCAAATTAAATGTTACCGAGGAAATGACCCCGCTTTTCAAGACAATCGAGGAATCGTGAACACATTGCCATGTGCCACATTGCTCTGATCCATGTCATATCGGCCTAGCGAAGATGAAAATAGTGTAGTTGTAGGTTAAGATCTGCCATGAGAATGCAGACTGTTGAGGTGAAGGAAAGTCCTAGCTGCAGATCGTATACGGAGGCACTGGACTACTGAAATCTGCACAGTGATGACGTTTAAAGAGCTGTGCATGTTGCGTATTCAACCTGAAGTGGTCATTTTATTAAGCAATTTTTAGTTCTGATTCGCTTTAGATCTAAACTGACGGAACTTTTCTACTCATGACGCCAATGGTCTTGAGGGCACTTAAGCATTCTCTCCATGCCGGGTGCAGAACTTACGAAATGTCAAGAATGGTGAGTTTGTGGAGAGGTAATGTTCAATACAACAAAAAGCTCTCTGCTCTTTATTAAACGTAACCATGATCTCAGTAGGCAAACATAATTTTGGAAAAATATTATCTGCAGACTTCTGCTGGTTTGTTAGACTACTGCAGCTTGCAATATGGCGCGACTGTTGCAACTTTTAGCATCGAACTGGCGCGTCATACTATAACAATGGCGACAAGGTTGAAAATGTGTTTTTTTTAATACGCCATATAGAGAGCAAAATCATTCAATGAACTTATATAAAATGAATATCAGACAAATTCCTTTAGGTTCAAATCTGAAACACAAAACTTCAGTATGGAGGAAGATATTTACAAAACTAGTTGTCGGGGTTTTTTTTATCCCCCTGTTTGTGCAATTTGTGAAGAAAAAAAATCCAGGAAGTGTTGTGTATAGTAGTGGTAGTATTAAAAGTACAAAAAGATGTGATTTTAGATTCTGATAAAAATAATATGCATTTTGTATTACATTTCAGAAGTTTAACCTGGTACCACATGACCAGTCACTGGAGCTCCTGAGCGTCCACCGCTAAAACACAGCGATAGTCTCAGGCGTGCGTCCTATGCATAGAAGGGAACAAGGTATGCAGTCAGGTTATGTATAAGTAGAAGTTTTACGGAGCTCGCAACTGCATAAATATGAGCGCCAAGAGGCGGATGTCAACAGAGAAGTCCTTACAGGGAATCGGGCTTACTCTGCTCACCTCTCTAGCTTCAACAGCACAAAGTCTGCTTCGGCTACCGCCAGTCAGGTTAAGGACAAGTCTACCACTGGTGAGCAGCTGGCCACAGACTTTGCCAACAGATGCACCTCGAGGAAGGCACCTATTTTTCGTATTATGTCTTAGGATAATTCATCTCAGTTCGTAGCCTTACCAGGGTAAACCAAACATTCCTCTGGAATGGATTTCTACATCAACACAGTAGACCGCATCTATAGCGGGACATTTGGTATTTGGTTTCAGAAGAAAAATCCCTCTGCAGGCAAGCCCGCAAAAAGGAAGCAAAAGGGAAATTACCGAAAAAATTATGAAAATACACATGATTACTTCTCTTTCTTATCAATAAAATTTGCGCTTTACATTAGTCTTCCTTTTCTTGTCAACTTCGTCGATTATATCGGCCTTTAAGTGATAAGAATTTCCTTTTGTCTTTGTTGGAAGCCATTTTTTCCTCGGTCTCGTTGCTTAAAGCTGTCTATCGTACCAGAGGCCGGTAGAACTGGTGGAGTGGATGCGTGCGTATGCCTGAGCATCAACAATCGCAATTCAATGAATCAGGAATCACACACTACACGCTCTCCTCTTCTTTTACTTCAACGGCTTAGCCTAGGCCTAGGGCTATGGCCTACGCTCTCACACTGAGCGTGTAAGCAACAGCACATCCCTTTTGGAGTGGCTCACGTAACGCGTCTCTCCGCACCATCTCTCTCTCTGCCGCCTGCCCTACCTCACTCATCACTGGACTGGCCAATCACAGCGCGCACCCCTGACTGCCTTTTTGGAGCCCGTCTACAGCCCTCCAATCCCCTCCCCTCCAGGTAGAGCTTGCTCGATGTCTCCCGCTCTATCCCAGTTCGGTCCTTTCCTTGCCCCACTAAACCCCAGCACAGGTAATTGAGTTTACATTTACATAGAATAAAAGGGAATTCTGGCATGGTGGGTGCCGCTATAGCTATGTTCTACTGTACCACAGTGGCAACAGCAAGGCATTGAAACAAGAAGCCAAACAGTAAAAAGTGAAAAACAGTCAACTATTTTTTTTTTATTACAAAGAGAAACAACAATGCATTAGAAAATACAAAACAATGCCTCAATGTCTCCTTCACAAAATCAATGCATACATAGATATATATATATATGAATGTAATTCATACTAACAAAATACTCAAAGGAGGCCCAAGTTCCCTTCTCCATATCCCAAACATAAAACGGACCACCAGTTTTGTCATGAACTGGAAAAAGTAAATGCCACCTCACCCCCCCCCCCCCACAAACAAAAACCTAAAAGCAATAGAGAAAAGATTTATATCAATGGAAGGGGGGAGTCATGAGCAAAAGAAGTTAGATGCTGTAGAGTCTAAATTGTGATCCTAAATCTTTAAAAGCTTTCACTAGCAACCTACAGCAGCAATTATTTCGAAGACATGGCAGCATGAGCAGTACCAAAGGAGAAATACAAAAAAAAGATGGCCCCCTTCTACAACAAAATAATTTCAAAAGGAGGATTTTATTCTCATAGTGCATAACAATGAAAAACACCTATTTTTCATTACACAGATTTGAACTTCCTTTCTCTCTTCCTCTCTCACTCACCCTCACTCTCTCACTCACCCTCACTCTCTCACTCACCCTCAGTCTCTTATCAAGTCACAGTAAAACAAACATGGTCTCAATGCCATCCCCTTTCAAACGACAAATTACACAAATACAAGCACATACATAGGACGTCCACTGACATTACTGAAGGGATATTTACATATATGAATTCTGGTGTGTTGTTTTTATAGGTCGCCACAGTTGGCCAAAAAAACAAAACAAAAATTGACCCTAAACTTCCCCAACTTCGAACTGACGTCTATTTGCGTGTGTATTGGATGCAACAAATAACATTAACCATTATTAAGTTTTAAAAATGCCAGGTGGCTGATAAGAAAAATAATTCAAGACTTGGAATAAGATGTAACCTAAGTTAGACTGCCTACTATCTACCCTCTGCTTTGACAACCATTTTACAGGCAGCGAATTGAAATGAAGCTCAAGTCAATAAACAAAGGTGAAAAATTGTTTACAAGAATAGAGATACATATCTCATACACAAATATGCATGAATCATTGATCATTTCTCATTTCGAAAGCATTACAGTACCAAGAACAGTTTAAATTATCATAGCACAGACAATTTTTAAGGTGACATTACAGTAAACTTCTTAACAGCTTGAGATTTACAAGGCAAGTCATAAAATCCATGTATCTCTTCATAACTCTGTCTGGAGCAAGAGAGAAATCCAAATAATTTGTTTCTATTCTTATGCCCTGAAACATTTTTATACCATACTTGGTCTATGAGCTTTAAGCAAAGACATTCCTAATCTTCATGTCCTATGGCAACAACCGCACTCACTGCACTTTTGTGGAAATAGCTGCTCCAATCTTGAATTCAGACACTCGAGTGTAAACACAAAAAGTCATTACATAAAACCATGGAAACCAATGCTGATGGTCCCATGCTCTGACTATGTAACTGGAAGAAATAGGCCAATTTTTTATTTTTTTTATCCATTACTGAGGATGATGTGTGGATTGTCAATAAAAATCCGGAGTCAGCATGGGCCTGAAATAGAGCAAAAGAACTGAAGGCAAAAAGAACTGAAGGCAAACTTTTGTGACTATATATTTTGTTTGCAAGTTGAAAAATGTTCAAGAAACCAGTTACAGTTACACAGGCAGAGCATAACATCAGTGTGTGAGTGCGCGTTAGTCAGATTCAGCTCATGAGCACCTCGGTCTGCACAAGTCTGGCATTTGTATCTCCTGGCAGTCGGTACGGCAACATCCCGGCAAACATGATTAACGTCTTAGCCTGGCTCCGTAAGTAGTTCAAATACTGCGGAAAAAATAAAAAGATTCGTTTAGATTTGATTCACGGATAGCAGGAAAATTTATGGTAAGACAATGGTGATGGAAAAGCAAGACACAATAGTTATGCTGAGGGGGAACACCCACAGCTAGAGACATGTTAGAGACATGTTAGAGACATGTTAGAGACATGTTAGAGACATGTTAGAGACATGTTAGAGACATGTCCGTCCAGGATCCCAATACCTGTTCCACTTCCCAATAGGGAAACTAACAAGAGCTTTGGTTTTAATAGTTTTATTTGCAATATAGACTATCTAAAATAAGCATGCTTTTATGAACAAAATAACTAAGATAAAAGTTAAAAATGCTAAAATGTCGCCAGTTTAGGAGGATTAGTTACTAAACATTTAGACAAAAAAAGACAATTACATTGTCCATATACAGTGGAACTTGGATTCAACGAGAGGAGATGGATTCCCCGTTTTTTTTTCTTCCTTAAAATCAATAAAAATAACCCAGATTCAACGAGCACTTTGATCAGCAAGCTCGGATTCAACGAGGTCGCTTCCAGGGGGAACAGCCCCACACAGACGTGACTTCGCTCACTTTTCTCCCAGGACGAACGTTATCTATTCCCGGAAACCATCCATTGTCCTGCATCTTGAACTATTGTTCACTTAGCCAATTGAATACGACCAATCAGCGGCCTTTTTTTCATACCAACACAAGAGTTGTTGGCACTCGCACACATGTACTCTGGCATGTGTCGGGGTCGGATGGGCGGCCTGCACACGTGTGACTGTGTCGGGGAAGGGGGGGGGGGGGGCGGGGGGGCGGGCGGCCCGGGCGTCAAATGTATCAGATACAAACGCATCAGTTTTTTTTTCCCCTCAGCAACTGATCATTATTATATAAGCTTGTATTGACGTAGATCTACGTAATGAATTGAGCGCTCGTAACTGGAATCAAAAGTTGCAGTGTGCTAGGCTCTACACAGCAACACAACTTTTTGGCAAACAATCGAGACGACACTGGCGTGCATTTGAACGAATTGGTCTTTTTTTTTTTTTTACACAGCTCATAATATGCAGGCATTTCAGGCACAGCTTGTTACTTCTCTTTACATATTATGTGCTCAGTGCCTGTAATAATCTTCACAAAATCTCATGTTCGCTATAACGAACTCTCGGATTCAACGAGGTTTTAGGTCAGGCTCGGCGACCTCGTTGAATCCGAGTTCCACTGTACTTTTTTAAAAAGTACTCACAGTGTCTTTGCCTCCATCTGCAAGAGCACCTGTCCGCACAAAGGGACCCTGAGAACTGGAGTTTCTGATGAAAAGAAAGCAATAAATCAGCATCCCTGTCAATAAATATTCAAAACATGAGAACAGTTTGTCACTGTCAATAAATATTCAAAGCATGAGAACAGTCTGTATCTTTACACTATTCTTCAGACTAATGAAGTTGTGGTGTAAAAAACACACATTTAAGTCATTTGAAAAAAAACTGCAGGAATAGCTGACAGGAGAAAAATACACCAAGTTGAACAAAAATTTCAGACCCGTTTAGAGACTAGCCTCAGAATGGTGTGTCTTTTTTTTTTCAGTAGAGGTTTTAAGCACCAGGAGATTAGAGGTGTTACAAGAGAGTAACAAACATAAAAAAGAAGAAGGGTAGATAAGGATGACAGATGTTTGATAGGAAAGAAGGAGCAAACCACACCAGAGCACCCACCAACCACCCACAATGTAGTGTCTTTGGTGGGATGCAGTTTGCCATGAGCTATAATGACCATTACTATATTTAGTAAGGAACGGACTAGGATATTCGATACAGTGAAACGCATACACGTTTAAGACCACACCAGATTGCCTGTCAACCCACTGTTTCAGTGTCTGTCAGGTTCACCACCTCAGCATCACAATAGGAGAATGACTTGAAAACAAAGACCAAATTGCAACACTAGAGAAAAATACACTCCAACCTGCTCTAATGAAGGCCATCTGCACAAGACAGTCACCTGTCAAAACGACCAGTACCCCCCACCCCTCCCTGTAATTTTTTATTACACTCTTATTATAATGACTTTGTCAAAGACATCCACCTGTCTAAGACTACCACTTTTCTCCACGAAAATCTGCAGCCATCATGAACAATCTCGACTGTACTCACAGGACATAATGAAAGAATCAGGAGGTCTTGGTGGTTGCAATTCAAATCTAAGTACAGCTTACGAAAACGTATTGTATAACATAAATGCGTCAAAGTTAAGAGTAATGATGAGAGTGCCTACCTGATGTTGTTGTACTTGCTGAGCAGGATATTCATGGTGGCCAACAGTATGTCAGGCAGGCATCGGCGGATCTGATCACAAAGCAAAATTAGACTGGTAACCTCATACAACTGAGTATACAACAGGCATTTGTATATAAGAAAAGAGCAGTCTATTCATACCCCATCCTCAATAAACTGTCTACTCAGATCACAAAGCAAAGTTTGATCGGTAACCGAATACAACTGAGTACAGAACAGGCATGTGCATAAGAAAAGAGCAGTCTATTTATACCTTAGCCTCAATAAACTATCTACATTGACAATACTACATCTATTATAAAATAAGAAAAATAAAACCTAGTCATCACAGATTCACAGAGCAGAAGACACACATGAAAGTGCAATAGGTCAGAGGAGGAGTATATTTTAGTAAGTGTTTTAAGGCACTTGCAACACAATAAGGTCATATATAAGTCCCGAAGATTAGAGGTGTTACTAGAGAGTAACAAACACAAAAAAGAAGGAGGGGAGAAAAAGATGATAGACGTTTGACAGAAAAGAAGAAGCAAACCACACCAGAGTACCCGCCAACCACCCACGAGGAGGATGAGAGCCATCAATTTCTATAATTTTGTCAAAGACTCTACCAGCAAATGTACAGAAAATATATGTACTAGTGAAACTACAGGATAAAAACACAACATTGACTTGACCTATGAACTTCTAAAACAGAACGCCCCACTCCCCCCCCCCCCTCCTTTTCTAAGTCCAGTAAAACAAACACTAACTCAATGCCCTCAGAAGTAATGGACCAGTTTTGAACACACTGCCAGCAAAGTCAGCAATGGTGGTTGCCCACTTCAAACCATTGCTGTTAGCTCCAAACAGAGAGAGTCCAGTTTGTTGTAAATTTTATAAATACACCTTTGAAAACCCAAATTCACGTCAGAATATAAGTATGTTGTCTGGGTTTTTGGGGGGCCTTTTTTTGCATGTGTGTGTGAGTGTGTGTGTGTGCAGAAAGGGGAGGGGAGGGGGGAGAAGGAGGGTTGTGATGAAAACTAGAGCCAAATATATATATACAGTAGTCTCCGCCTAAGATTGCGCTGTTCAGGAGCAAGGAAAATGCGGGATCTTAGTCAACCAGGATCTTAGCCGACGAACCAAGGGAAGAATCTATAGTGACCCATGTTAAGTCTCTTTATCGGTAAAATGGTATCCCTCCACTCTAAAATTAACTGACTTGACCCCTAGGTGAGTTGATGACATATAGCGAGCAAAGACTGGTTAACCTTGATAACCTATCACAGTGCATAGTGGCATTAGGCGTGCTATTTTCACTTATTATCCAATCGTAAGTCTCAAGATCTACGCTTATCCAGTTGCCCCTCCCCTTTACCTGTTGAAAATTTATAGCTTTCCATCTCTGACGGAGTTCCCACGCCTTTGTTGTTACGCACCATTACGTTGTGACCACACCAATTAAAATTGTCTATCTTGCAAATTCAGGAATAGAGAAAACTGCTGCAATAGGCAGGGAAGAGTTAACAGTTCGATGTGATCCCGCTTGAAGCGAGGTGATGTAAGTTTAGGTGGAGAGCTCAGGTGCGAGTGCGATGTTTGGAGAAAACAAACGCGACAGTCAGTTCACACATCAGTGTGATCCTGTCTGGGGCAAACATTATACCATTTCATCGAGTTTTACAACACTTATGCGATCATGTGATGGGCAGTTCATTGATCTCAACCTTTCCGTCTCAGTTGATCACCGGTGCCGGCTTCGGTTTTTATTCTCTAAATTACGATCAGAAATGCGGGATTTTAGCTGAATGTAGACCTTCAGAGTGAATCAAAGCGGGATGTTTGGGGTGACTTTTGTATGTAAAAATTCTGTTTTCTTAAACAGCAGGATCTTAAGCGAACTGGGATCGCAAGCGGTGGGGTCTTAGGCAGAGACTACTGTATTTCGTATATAACACCGAAAATTATTTTTTTTAAAGTCCAGACTCCCAAATGTAAAAACGTATTACCTCCTCGGAATAGTGCTTGAAACTGTTGACCTTGTGCTCCACTTCTTCAGGTGCAAAAGGAAGAAGGTTGATGCCTTGAATTACCTGAATGACGGCGGGACAAAGACAATACTAGGTTGTTACATCACAATTGATGTCAGTTAGTTCTAGTAAGAGTTTTATGGCACTTGCAACATAATTGTGTCGTGTAAGTGCAGAAGATTAGATATGTTAGATTAGAGAGTAACATACCAAAAAAAAAGAAGGAGGAAAGATAAGGGAGATAGATAGATGTTTGATAGGAAAGAAGGAAAAAACCACACCAGAGCACCCTCCAACAACCCACAATTGAAGTCAACCAGGACCTACAAACCCAGAAGAATGCACAGCAGGACATAAGGAAGCAGAAAGTGTAGAAATCATGCAAACCGAACCACAGAACCTGTCAGCCAGATCTTAAAAAATATAAAATATTAAATAAATTACCCCTAACATCCTAGAAGGACAATTTGGTTTCCAGTGGCAAACATACATTCATACAAAGCATTGTCTAAAGGCACAGAAGGTACTTTAAGTCAACAACTAAACACATACAAGGAGGGTGAAAACTAAACATAAATATACTGTAGGGTGAAGATTCTAGCGAAATTGCATGCTCTGACCATATGACATAATTCACAATACAGGTGACAAGTAGCTTCACGACAAGTTATGATCCAAATAAAATATTAAATGAATTGGATTAAATGCTGATTCTGTTCATTTGAATCCGTAATCTAGTTCAAATTCTGTAGGCCAAAAAATAGTTCAACCAAGAAATCCTGAAACAAACACGGATGGAAAATATCAATAAAACAAATATTAAACAACAAATTCCATCAATAAAATTAGCCACAGCCAGAAAAAAAACCCAACACAAAAACAAATATTATTACCTTTCGCATAGTTTGAGTAAAAAGGGGTGGTAAAGAAACAACAGGTATCTACTAGCGGTGTCCTTACACCTCCCTCCCTTTCCACAGATCACTCAGAAAACTAACAAACAATAATAATAATAATAATAATAATAATAATAATAATAATAATAATAATAATAATAATAATAATAATAATAATAATGAAGATCATTTCTATAACGCCCACTCCCGTGTAAACACAGCTTTAGGCGCTTTACATAAATGCATGTACGAACAATAATCACGCACGCGACACACACACACACACAAACACACTCATACACACACACATATACACATACACACTCAAACACACACATACACACTCACGAACACATAACACGCACACATGTGCACACACATGTATGCCAAACACACACACACGCGCACACGCACGCACACACACACACATTTACTTGCTTATCACACGCACATGCTTACACATCGTCACGAAATGAGCATAAAATATACACACTGCAATTCACAAAATACATAAATGGATACATAGTCATTTACATAACACTGTATTGAACATGAATCTACTGACATAAAAAGGATGTCATTAAATGTGTCTTTAAAGATTTTTTAAATTTTGACTCAGATGTTGTATGTCTCAAGGTTTGGGGAAAAGAGTTCCAAACTGACGGAGCAAGGTGGGCAAAGCCAGACATACTTGTGTACCAGGACTAATGATGCACCGGAAGACCATGAAAAAAAAAAACCCAACTAAAAGCATGAGCATGCAAACTTAACTGTCAGGGTTTCGACAAACACAGAGAGACAGTCATGCAGACAGACAGTCGGTCAGTCAGTCAGTCAGACAGACAGGCAGACAGACAGTCAGTCAGACAGACAGACAGACAGACAGACAGACACGCAGACAGGAAGGCAGACAGACAGACAGACAGACAGACAGACAGACAGACAGACAGACAGACAGACAGGCAGGCAGGCAGACAGACAGACAGGCAGACAGACAGACAGGCAGGCAGACAGACAGACAGAGACACTCACCTCTAGAGCCTTGTTGACAGTGCCAGAGTGACAAAAGTCAAAGAAAGTCACAAGGTCAAGGAGGAGGAAGAAGGTGCGAGTCGTGACCTGTGTTCCCTCATGACCCATGGACTGGTATCTGTTAATGTGACATACAAATACAAACACACAGGTAAATACATCACAATGCATCATCATAATACAAGTTTTTCAGTCATCAAACATCAAGAAGGTCAAACATCTTCTATCTAAAAAAAATTAGATTCTGTGTTTTGTTATATTTTGAATTTACCCTCTCCTTCTTTTTTTTTTTTGTTACTCTCTTGTAGCACCTCTTATCTTCAGCACCTGAATGAGCTAAATTGAGTTGCAAGTGCTGTAAAGCTGTTACTGAAACAAAGAGTTTTACAGCACTTGCAACATAAATAGTGCTAAAGATTAAAAGTGTTAGAAAGTTAAAAAGAAAAGAAGGAAGAGACAAATAATGACAATAGATGTTTGATAGCACAGAAGGTAAACCACACCAGAGCACCCACCAACCACCCATCCACAGAAGTTTGCCACTCTATATGACATACAAGGTTAGTTAATAAGCAGAAAGAAGGGCTTTAAAGAGTTTTACGGCACTTGCAACACAATAAGGTCATATAGGTGCCCAAGATTAGAGGTGTTACTAGATAGTAACAAGCACAAAAAAAAGGAGGGGAGATAAAAATGATAGATGTTTGATAGGAAAGAAAGAGCAAGCTTTAGTTTTAGTTTTAGTAGAAGTTTTACGGCGCTCGCAACTGCATAAGGTCATATGCAGAAGATTAGAGCTGTTACAAGAGAGTAACAAACATAAAAAAGAAGAAGGGGAGATAAGGACGATAGATATTTGACAGGAAAGAAGAAGCAAACCACACCAGAGCACCCACCAACCACCCACAAAGCAGGGCCCACAGGATAGAGCAAAGAAGTGCTTCATAAAACATGGACATAAACAGTAAAGAAGAGCTTTTATTTTCTCCAAACTGTAAATGCCAGCACACATTCGCTAACAGGCATTTCAGAAAAAGAAGATGGACAAGTTATATGAAAGCAAACTGATTTTTATGTACGCCACCATTTTTTTCTACTTCGTAGGACCCCTCGCCTCCAGTTTCGAAGGTACTCTAACGTGTTTTTATATTCACTAGTGTATTTCCAGTTTGGTAGGAATTAATTTTGAATATTGCCCTGGTGGCGGCCGAAGCCTACTCTTTTCGATTTTAGGACCACCATAGGATCTATAATGTGCACAACTTGTACATGGGACCTCCGAAATATTTCTCGCCATTATCCGACGAGGCTTGGTGTTCAATTTTACCTACCCTAAGATCAAGGGTGTGGGTGAAAGACAGCAGTAGGAAAGAGCCTGTGGTAGAAGAGAGTCAGGAGTGAGGGAAACAAAAGCACAGAGGGGCTAGGGGGTTTGGGTGGGTGGGATGGGATATAAAGTGGAGATGAAAGCAGGTAACAGAATAGGACTAGAGAACAGGAAAGGACTTGAATGGAGAAAATTTTGGAGAACAAAATGGTTCACTGCTGTCAAGTTTCGATGGTGGGACCTTTTGAAAGGGAAGCAAACACCGTACCCCTAGACCACGAGAGCCTCCTTCAATTGGGAATTATTGCTCTTCTAGCTTGAGTGCAGCACATTTCAAAATCTTGAATTATATGCCAGTCCGTCTACTTACCAGCAACTTTTACGATAAAGAATAATCATCCATGCCTTCGTCCCCTTGAAAGTGCACTGCACACTAATTTGACCTAAAACTCCTGAACAAACCCAGGGATAGGTAAGCGAGAAAATGAAAACACACATAGACACATAAAAACAAACACACAAAGACACACACACACACACACACACACACACACACACACACACACACACACACACACATGTACACACACGTGGAGCTTGCATCTCACCGTTCTGCCATGCTTACGGCCAGAGTGGCCAACCGGTCTCTTGGGGACTGTGGACTAGGCGCTATGGCAACGACCTGACTCAGCAGCTTGTTCATCAGACTCAAGGCTTTCTCGTGGTTCTGCATGGCATACAAAGACAGATTTAATAAGGAAAGTTGGGAGGGAAAAGGGAGGAATGAGCTAGTCCAAGAAATTCCTCTAAAACTCCAGAAGGATTAAACCCAAACTAACAATTGTGTCACGAAACGGTGGAATCAGGCACTCGTCAATTTTGGGGCAAATAGAATTATTGGTATTATCTGAAAGGCTTGTTCATTTGTCTTGCTTTCAATGAAATAAATACCCATCTATTTTGAATAGAAGCTGTAATATTTGCAGCTTAAGGAGATGGGAGTCACCTGGTGTCAGTAGTATAATTAGCGAGAAAATAGCTACCAAAGTTTGGTGTCTTCCAAAGCTTGGGTGTCCTTCAAAACTGCAAATTTACCATTTTTTGTGCTTTTGAAAAACGTTTTTTAGGAAAAGCTACACAGAAATATCTTATTAAATGGACATAAAGGGGGTTGAGCTAAAAAAAAAAAGAAAATTAGAAAAAAATTGCCCAACGGCTAGTAAAAAGCCAGGTTTCTAATTCCATTATTTTGACGCGCACATGATTTCACCACGATGCCTCACAAATAACACTTCACAAACAAACAGCCAAACGGCTGCAGTCTGTGTGACAGGAAACTCTCTCGGCCATAGTGACAGCATAATGTGGTCTTTTTCACAGTTCCAGATTTTACTTATTTTCCTCTCAGGAGGTATTTGGTATAAATCTCTTCAAGAGGCATCAGCACTATTGACTGAGCTATTAAAATTTGGAAGAATATGAATGCACATAGTTTGGGAAGAGAAAACACAGTGGCCAACTGAAAACCAGTACAAACTATAAAATCAATCAAAGCTACATCAATGATAGTACATAACAAGATGGGCCACTCAGCCAAAAAAGTGTCCGCAGGAAGTATGCTCTTTGCTTCAGATGGCGCTGCAGTCTGTTTTGAAGCTCTCTTTCGTTTTTCCAGAAGAAGAATAGGAATAGCACCTCCTTGCGTGCGCAGATCGACTGCTGTTCATCAGCAGTTCGGGTACGTTCAGTGCGGAGTTTTAGTTTTTTTTTATTTTAATGACCTCTCGCCTTTCATTCTAAAGTCAAATTAAACAAAGAAAACCATCACCCTTTCCTCCGGTAGAGGTTTTTTGTCAGCGTAACCATTTTAAAAAAGCGTTCTTCCGAAATTTATCCCAAAACTTGCTAGTTTCACTTTGATTTTTAAAAACTCAGGTTGGGTAACTCTGTTCGCAAAGAGTGCGCTTTTGTGAAGAGGGCGCCACCAAATTTGGAGGACACTTTTTTAATTGGCTCAAAGAGAGAAGTGGCCCATCTTGTTATGTACTATCATTGGCTACATCTAGAGTAGGGGTCACTAACGTTTTTTTCAGAAAGTGGATGGGTTAACTATCTTATTTGATTCAATACACTAAATACATTCTTTTTTAAAATAGAGACAACCAACCTATCAGTTTATCAATATACAAAGAAATAAAAACTACAATCATTTACAATAGTAAAACCCTGCGAGTGGGCGACCGGGACTAATGGGGATCCCCATATGCAGAAAGAAATGTGATAAATGAAATATTTGTCACATTAAAACTGAGTAAAAGCTATTTATATATATATATATATTATATATTATATATCAACTAGGAGTTTTATGCAGTCTATTAAAAGAGCGTGTTTAATAGTTTAATTTAAAGAGCAGAGTTCAGTGCAGCTTTTCAATTTGACCTGGGGTGAACACCTTTCTAATTTTAGGTCAAATCAGCTAGGCCTTCTGCGCGTGCAAGGCACTGTCTCTCACCTTTGCAAGGTCGTAGAGCCTAACAGCATCTTCAAACAGACCCTTGGTCTCTGTATCCTTGGCAACCATCTCTGTGATGCGCTGGTTGTCTTGCTGGAACCGGTCAATGGCACCAGGCTGTAGATGATGAGCAAAGAGGGTAAAAGTTAATATGCAGTGGGCAGGGGTGGTGAGGAGGTTGGAACATCACTGGCTCTCAGAGTTCTACATGTATTAAGAAGGGTTTTTTTTGTTTTTATGACATTAACATTTTTGTAGTTGTATAAGTCCAACAAATGATTCTCTGTGAGCGTCCTGAGCGTAGACATACGTAATTAAGGTCACTAAGCAAGTTGAGCTAGAGTTTACAGCCAGAGAGATATCAATGGTATCAGGAACTGAACAGGGAGATAATATTACTGACGATTAGTAGGAGGAACAAAGCACACCAAAGAATACACCATTCTCCTCTTTGTATGAATAAAAGTATGAGTAAATGAGCCATCTTATAGGTTGGCTTAAACCTGCTGCAAACAGAAATTCCAGTTAACATTTATGCTTTTCCAACTCCAATGCAATCTACATTTGTTTAGTGTTAGTAAGAGTTTCGCGGCACTTGCAACACAATAAGGTCATATAAGTGCCGAAGATTAGAGGTGTTACAAGAGAGTAACAAATACAAAAAAGAAGGAGAGATCAGGACGATAGATGTTTGGTATGAAAAAAGGAGCAAACCACACCAGAGCACCCACCAACCACCCACAATCTACACTTGGTACTTTGTTTTTCTATTTTTACGTAGAGCAGATAAAACACAACATTTACATGAGAAATTTTATAAACTTTGTAATTCTTCTTATGACCTGAATACACTAGATGTTTGATACTTACTTTCCTTGAGCCATCCTTCTCCAGTCGGCCGAGGAGCATATCAAACTGAAAGGGACAGAAAAACGAATAATTGATAGTAATTCAACTAAATGCAATCTATATGAATTTTTAAAATATCACAGGTGAAATGTTTTTGATTGACCAGAATTCATAAACATGTGACTGAAGGCAGCACAAATAGACAAGAATGGAAAATAGTAACAACAACATATGCTTGACAATGACAAAGAAACACAAACTGCGAAACAACAATGCCTGACAATGACAAACAAAAGCATAATGCGACATAACATACAATGATAGTAAAACATCATGATCAGCTGCAAGCCCTTCCATGATGATCATTGCACAGTATTGCAGACAAGAAGACACAACTATTTTGAGTGTTCACAAGAGATACATCATCATCATCATCATTATCATCAATCATGCAACTGTTCTAACTATTATCATCATCAGCAGTGTATATGATATCATTATAAAGTTCTCATATGATTCTGACAAACATCCTAGACTTACCCTTCACATAAATAATCTCGGACTCTCTCCTTGGAAAAAGTGAATCGTAACAATAAAAAGTAGCATTGTACAGTTTAATATTTAAAAAACTAACCTCATCATAACCTTGTGTTGACTACAGCTAACACATCATGTACACAACATTATATTAAACAGATGGAGTCACTTTGACTGGATTCAACAAGGGTAAAATTCTTTAAAAGAGTGTACACAAGATACGTTTTATGGAACTTAAAGACAATTCTGAAGTGAGAACACTTTAAGGTCAGAGAAAGCAAAAACGTAGCACCTTATGATAACTCTTTACATGTAAAAGAGTTTAGTTAGACAATAAATCTGATAACATCCTATGAACAGCAAACTTAAAAGTTTTTCTCTGAACAAAATCTTTTAATGGGTTCAACCAAAAATAGGATCTCAGAGGTTGACTATACTAAAGCATATCATAGAGGATTCAAACTGGTGTGCCATACACTGTAACCCAATTACAAGTCTAAGAAAGCCTCATTTGGGGATTCAAACTCAAACCAGTGTCACCCATCCAACAGACACAGCCACAAGTTCAAGAAAATCTCACTGGTGATTTTCACCAGTTCACCAGTGTGCCCCAAACCATAGCCCACTTACAAGTCTATGTGCCAACATAGTAAAAATAAGTATACCTCGAGAAAAACAAAACAAGAAAGGGGAAACTGTTTGGTCGATGATGATGATGACGATGATGATGATGATGATGAAACACTAACAGGGCTGAATGGTACGCCTAAGTAGCCTAAGCAATAGCTTAATACTCGCCTCTCGAGTCTCCAAGACCAATTCGCTGACACAAGACATAAACAGATTGTCGCCTACTGGGCTTTTCAGATTCCTGCAAGAGATGACAATTTTTCGATAAATGAGTGTAGGAACACACACGTGTGTGTGTGTGTGTGTGTGTGTGTGTGTGTGTGTGTGTGTGCGCGTGTGGTGTGTGTGTGTGTATGTGCGTGTTTTTGTGCTTGTATGTGTGTGTTTATCAGTCTGCATTTTTAAGCCTTCAAGAGCATGTGGGAGCATTTCTAAGTATGAGAGAAAGTGACAGAAAAGGTGATTAACATTATGAAGATTACATACACATGCTACATATACTTTACTTTCACCGCAAAGAAATATTTTTTAAAAACTGCCTTTCCTTTGATTGCAAGGGGGGAAATTATGACCCCCATCCATCAGCAAATCACAGCACCTGTTACAGATCACTAAATCATTTGACAATAGATGGGAATCTTCAGCACACCTCATCACACCAGCCCTAGTGGAAAAGAATTAACTACGCAACAACAATTCCAGACAACTATAACACCAACAACACAAGGGGTCACCCACCTGAGGAAGAAGAAGTACTGTAATGCCTCCCGGGCATCAGTGGCCTCAAACTTGCGTGTGTACATCATGATAAGACGGGCTAGGTTCAGTCGTCGAAGCCCTGCAGAGTCGGAGCTGTCCTCGCTCACTGGTCAACAACAACAAAACTTTCTTTATTTCTGTTAGCTCTTCCCTCTATAGAAGAGAAATTGTCGTAACTTAATAAATTCTTCTAGGAGCCTGCTTACTTTTGCTTAATGTTCAGATTGACTCAATATTTAGGCAAAAATTGACATTAAATGGAAAAAAAAACCCAATAAGGCCAATGTCACTGAAAAGTTTGAAATCAATGTATCAAAAATGCTCTTTTTCATTCTAAATCAAAAGAAAAATGATTTGCAACAAGTTTTCCACGGCTTGGTCTTATGGCACACAGAGCTTCACGGATGAGCCACACATTTCTCTCATCCTAAACCTCATGTGAACTGTTTTTGGTGTAGGAAAGAGCATAAAAATCATAAAAATACATAATAAAAATCTGTGATACCGGGTACCTTAAATAAAGGTCCCACGAAACAGAGTGTCAAACCTCATCAGTTACAGAAAAGTTTAAAAAGAGTTAACTGTTTTCATAGACTGCAAAAATTCTTGTCAGTATGTTAGTATTTTAGCGCTTACAAAAAAATTGGCAACTTGCTCTGTAAGCTTCCCAGGAAGTTGAGATTGTTTCAGATTGATATCAGATCTGCTGGGGTAATAATATAGATTGTAAAGTGCATAGGGCTTGCAGTTGAGCAGGAATTATTAACGCTAAACAAAAGCTATTTGTGATCTACTATCATTATTATTGACGTGAGCATGATTTGCGGGTGGCTGTGTCCATTTAGAGTTATTTATACATTTAAATTTATTAAGGTAATATAAATTTGAAAGCGGACCTGGAAAATGATAAACTAATCTATATGTGCACATAAATGAAACGAAAGCGTGATAAAAGCAGCTTATAAATAGCACCCACTAAATATGTGAACCCTGCCATCAGTAAGTATTTTCTAAATATTGGGGGAAAACACATGGAGCCATATTTCAGAGGAAAGCCTAACTTAATAACAAGAGTTTTGAAATCTTTTTTATTAGACCGAGAAAACTGTATCTTTGAACTTAAAAATTGCTGAACAAAAATACATCTCTTTCTTAAGTACTAAAACCAACCCAGGGCTCAGAAAAACCTTGAGTTATGTCTCTTGAGAATGCTATACTCCAAAACACACAAACAGCCCCCCCCCCCCCCCCCTACAACTCCAAAGAATGCATTTCCTTAAAAGCCCTATTTCCCTTTACTCTTGACAATGCATTTCCCTGACACCCCCCACCCCCTCCTTTATTTTTTTATGACCTTGAAAATGCATTTTCCCCAAAACCTCCGCTTCCCTAAGACTCACACAGCTGGGCCTGGCAGTCAGAGGGCAGAACCAGCATCTTCATCTCATAGAGCACCAATGCCACATGGACAGCGTGATATCGCAGACGCTCGATCCGAGACAAGAACTCTATGGCTGCCTCAAACTGACCCGTTAGGAAAAGCACTTGGAAGTATAAGAAGGGCTGCTGGTAGCCGTTGAAGTGGGGTTCACCTGGTGAAAGAAGAAACGAGAAGATAACAGTCGCAAGAGCTGGAAAGCTTCAAGAAACACTTCCAACCAATTTTTTGGGGTCATACTACTAAACTATTGTAAGATATATATATTTTTTTTTGTAAGTGTTTTGTGGCGTTCGCAACTGCATACGGTCATATGAGCGCGCAGGACACATTTAACTTTTTCAGTAGGTATGAAATTTTGAATTATGCCTGGGTGGCAGCCGAAGCCTGTTCTTATCCATTTTAGACCACCAAGGGATCTTTAACGTGCGCAACTTGCAGACGGGCCCTCCGAGATTTTTTGCCCATGTCCAAGAAGGCTAGCTGTAGATCTTTCCTACAAGAAGATCAGGCATGTGGCTGAAACACAGCAGTAAAAAGGAGCCAAGGAGTAGAAGTAGAAAGGCTGCACATAGAGGAGGGGGCAAAGGAGGTGAGGGGGTGGAGGCAGAAAGAGCAAACGAAAGCAGACCACAGAACATTGCTAGAGAGCAGGAAAGGAGGTGAAAGGAGACAATTTTAGAGAAGAAAATTTTTAGGTCGCTACTCGGAATCAAACCCGGCACCTTTGAATGAGAGGCCAACACCTTAACCTCTAGGCCACGAGAGCCCCCCATTAAGATATTTATAGATATATCACTGTTTTGCTTCATGTTTAAAAAATATGGATTACAAATTTCCTACAAATTTATTAAATAAATTTTCATTTTCGAAACAGCGAAATGTTGAATGGAAATGACAGTCAGCAACATTGCGCCTAAGTAGAGAACTCTCTTTTCGTACAGACTTATACCTGAACAGAAAAAAGAAAATCACACGCATACACATGAGCTCATAGACACAGTTGACTCACCATAGCCTTATTATCAATATCCAAACGACGCAGAACAGAGCACTTCAAAGAGAGGCTCTGGATACATAGGCACGGGTGATTAAGACAAATCAGACAACTCACCATAGTCTTCATACAGCATCTTCTGCAGCTGCTTGAGTGTGAGCTGCTCCTGACCACTGTCAGAGTAAACCTCCTGTATGTGAGACAGCTTCAGCCACAGGTAGTCATCAATCTTGTCCAGGATCTCCGCGTGGTCCTCTGCCCAGTCGCAGCGGCCAATCACACAGTATACCGCCCTGACAGGGAGAATGGACAAGCATAAAAAAACTTTGCTGATAAGATGTTGAAAGCAAAAAATTCACAATGTGCTTTCATAATTTCATATGCTAATGTTGCAAAAAACTCCAATACTCGCACACACCCACACACACATACAAATACAAATAGACACAAACACACACACAAGAACTAAATGTAAAAAAAAGAAGAAAACCATTCATTGGGTCTCAAGTTTTGGGCTGTGACATAGCAAATTACACAACACAGTATCAGATAGATAATATGATATGGCACAGTATAAGATCAATATTGTTTGACCATAGCAAGGAATTGCATCTAATGACATTGCACAGAGACATTCAAAACATGAACTAGAGAAGCCTCAAACCTTTTGTAAGGGTCTGAACAGTTTTTGATCACTCTTCTGTAATTCAGTTTGATTTTGGTGTCATTTCCAGGGCCCAATCGGTGATCGGAGGAGTTCATGTACTCAGCAAAGAACGTTGGGAAGTCACCTAGCTGGTGCCTGAAGTGAACAGAAAGTACTTAAGTGACATATTGATCAAATGGCAAAAACTTCAAAATTTAAAAATACCAACATATTAGCACCCAGCGGGTCATATTAACCAATCACTGCTGAGCTGTTTATGAACTTTTCATTTAGGTTCAATATCCCAAAGACACAGAACAGGTCACTTCAAAGAGAGGCTCTGGATCTTACAACATAACACTGCAATCAGAGAGAATCTTCCAGAAGACTTCGACCCTTTCAGAATGGAACTTTCTCTGGGTGTTCAAGCTCATAAGCAACTATACTGCAACAGTTAACAAAGAAAATGATGAAACAACAAAATTGAATAGAGACCAGGGAACTCATTTTATTCGGCATTTTGGTAGAAATTTAATCTAATCCCATCTCTACTAAAAGGAAATAACTGGAATTTTTTTTGGGGGGAGAAGCTAAAAAAAAAGAGAAGTAAATGAAACATCACTTATCTTAGCACAAGAGGTAAGGGATCCAAGGAACTTACCCAGCTCTGTCCAAGATGTCTTTGACCGCTCGAAGGTCACCACAGCGCAGACAGAAGAAGATAAGAGCCCACACAGGCTGACCATCCACTTCACCATCCTGGGACAAAGGACAACCATCCAATGATGGACAAACACAAACTACCAACTACGACATAATGACATAGAACTTCGTCTATGAGAAGTGCACTCAGCAAAAAATCAATTTATTTCTTGCTCATACTGTTTTGAACACTGCGTTACACAATTTAAGCTATTCATGCAGTCAAAACAAAACCGTTACAAATAAGCAACAACACTACTGTTCTCAATAAATCTTAGTCTTACTCTGAAACAATAAATTTGAAGCAAACATTAGCTTCAGCTTCAGGTTCAATCGTTAATTCAAAAGCTAATAGTGTGCAAGTTTTTAATCCTTTGCGACACTAAAGATAAAATTTTCAATCTAAGTGCAAGAAATCTACATTAGCCGAAGAGATTCAAAAAGTGCGCCAGACCTAGTATAAGCATATCTATGAAAAAACTGCTAAACATATTTATTTTTTTTATAGTAGAGGGTTTTACCGCGCTCTCAACTGCATAAGGTCATATGAGCCCCAAGGGGTGGATGTCAACAGAGAAGTCTTCACAGGGAATCAGACTTAGACTGCTCACCTGTCTAGCTTCAACAGTACAAGGTCTGCTTCGACTATCAAGGCACCCCAAAATAGCAGGTCACAAGGGAGTGACAAACATACAAAAGAAGTAGAGGAAAATGACAATAGTAAGGATCAGGAAAGAAAAAGCAGCAGTTCCCTGTTGTAGATCAGGCACAGTTATGAGCGTGACATGAATCAGCCCATTTACAATTCTACTATGCTTGAACGAGACGTCCCCCCTTTGGGAATGGCCTAAAGACACTTCAGTTAGTGGCACTGCCCCGGGGGGTACTAAACATATTTAAATGAGAGGAAATTGACTGCTCATTGTAAGACTCCTTCACTTTTATCAATGGAACATAGCCTAGTCTTACACTAAGCCGTCGAAATGCACTTGAGGAACCTACCTCAGCGGAGCGAACCGCGACAGGAGGCTTGACATTGAGGAAACTGAGCACCAGCTTGTAGGTCCCGGGGACTCCGCCCAACTGGACCTGCCGTAGGTTGGTGGAGATAGTCATCTCTATGTAGCGGATGTAGCTGGAAAACATTGGACATACTTACCATACTTAACTTCTTTTTCTTACGTTTTAAAATGAGTTTTACGACATTTGCAATACAATTGGGTCGTACAAGTGCTGAAGATTTGAGGTGTGACAAGAGAGTAACAAATACAACAAAAAAAGGAGGAGAGACAAGGACGATAGATGTTTGATATATGAAAGAAGAAGCACAATACTCCAGACCATCCACAGAAACTTAATAGGTAGGGGGTTTGACATATGATCATATCCTTTTAGACTCTGGTACAAGTAAAGTAAGGTTCACTTGAGTGTGAATTCAGTGAAACAGGTTACTCCCTGGTGGCCCCTGGACATCGTCAAATTGATAGAGACGTCAAATTGATAGAGACGTCAAATTGATAGAGACGTCAAATTGATAGAGACGTCAAATTGATAGAGACAGCAAACACACACCTAACAAATCCCACTTGACAAAAAAACATGAAAAATCCTTCAATGCCAAAAAAGGGCACATCAATTCAGCTAGTCACAAAAATGGACACATATATATTTTCATTTGCTTTTGAAGTCAACTAAAGATGAACCTGAGTAGTCTGGACTAAATAAAAACATGGTCACTAAATGGTCTGTTTCAAAATATCTGACAACAGCTTTTAAAAAATACAGCAGTCAACACATAGCTCAACATAGCATGTAATGTTTTTTATGAAGAAGGCAGAAACCTATTTTTTTAATTTAAAAAACCCAAAGATTTAGTCAAAGCCAAAGGGGAAGAATGGAATGGAGGGGAGACAGTCAGGGTAATTAAATAAACTGTATTAGAGCAGAGAGAACATTTGCAGCTGTCATCTATCTCAGGCCCCAGAAATCCCACTGGTCACTACATGATGACACACAAAACACCTCGACTTACTTCTGCTCCAGGTACTGTCTGGCCCGAGACAATAAATGGGCCTGGATCTGTCGGTCCTTGCGAATAACTGATGGCTGGTTGCCAAACATCTGACCCAGGGGAATCTCCGTCATGCACTTGACCATTTGCCAGAGGTCTGTCACACTCTGCAAGTCAGAGCAGAAACAAAAAAAAGCTATAACAGGTACAAAGAAGTAGAGAGATATTTGATCAGGCATCAATTCTTTCTGCACTGTGGCTTATGCTCACACAATCACCCTTGGCCCCATTCTGCTGAAGCAAGGCATAGACAGGGTAAATAAGACAGTAAAACCCACTTCGTGCTATCAATCTGAGTCGAAGAAACATACAGAGAAAAAGCAGCAACAAAGTTATTAAAGGTAAATGTATCTGAGCACATCCTTATTATTCACCCACATTTTTGCAAGTACATAATACAAATGTCTTTTATTTTTAAAATATACACATTTCAACACACATCCACACTCATCAGTTATTCCACATGCATCATCATAAACCTACCAAGCGGGCGGTTGGCAGGTGTTCTGGTGTGGATTGCTCCTTCCTTTCCTATCAAACATCAATTGTCCTTATCTCCCCTCCTTCTTTTTTGTATCTGTTACTCTCTTGTAACACCTCTAATCTTCAGCACTTATATGACCTTATTGTGTTGCAAGTGCCATAAAACTCTTACAAAAACAATCAAACCCATCAAAGAAACAACCTACAACCACCCACCCATCAATCAGCCCACACACACTCATATCCATCAAAAGAACCAGCACGCACACACACACAGACTAACTTCATAAGCACATGCAAAAACCAGCCTATGGACACCCACTAACCACCCTGCCCAGCTGAACCCCACTCACCTGGTCGTTGATCTTGTGAGCCACCTCGAGGAACATGTCCACCAGGCTAGGCAAGATGCCATTCTCTATCACGTGCTCATTGTACACGAATACCTGCAACACAGAGGAGAAAAAAGTAACAGACCGTGGCGGCAAACATCAACTGACCACAGCAGCACCTCTCTCAGAGTTGACTAGAAGTTTATACTGAGTAAGCGCGACAACAGCCGCATTTCTATCGAAAGAGATTAGGATAATAGTACCATAATAAG